TATAGAATTTCATAATCATAAAAGGTTATCAAAAATTATTAAAGTAAAACTAAAATAATTAAATTCTATAATAAATTTGCTTTTGTTTGGCAAAAAACTTTTTTGCCTTCTTTCAAACGTACCGTTTTGAGTCATCGAAAGGCAGTTTTCGATTATTCTGGAAAACCTAAAGAGTTCTTGTACAGAATTGGCTTTATATAAATAACGCGAGTTGTCGACGGACAGTTATTAAATTTAAGTGTTGGATAGAAAAGATAAATTGTAATAAATAAATTAGAATTGTGAGTTATAATAGTGCCTAAGTATGATATAAATTAATTAGTATTGGAAATAGTGTGTTTTAATTTAATGAACTATAAATTAATTAAACAAACGTGTCAGAAAAAGGATTGTAAATAAATAGTGGACAAAATAGCTAAAAAACTGTGTGATTTAAAAGTGACGGAGTTAGGTCGGGAATTAGAAGATCGTGAGCTGAAGACGACAAAGAAAAAAGCAGAACTGACAGAGCGTCTTAAAGAAAAATTAATAAGTAAAGGTTTGGATCCGGAAATGTATCTTTTTTCGGATGATACGTCTTTTATAATTTCTTCGTTAGAAAGTCAAATATCAACTATAAAAATCGATATTTCTTCTGATGTTTCCTGTATAAAAAATTATATCTCTTTCTTAGAAGAAAATATGTCTTCTAATATGTCTTTAGTAAAAAACCAAATTTCCTCTTTAGAAATTAAAGTGTCTTCTGATATGACTTCTTTAAAAACCGAAATTTCATCCGATTTGGAATCTAAAATTTCTTCTGTAGAAAATAAAATTTATTTTGATGTTTCCTCTATAAAAAATGACATTTATTCCTTGGAAGAAAAAGTGTTTTCTGAAATGTCTTCTTTAAAAAATAAAATTTTTACTGACGTGGAAAATAATATTTCTTCTGTCGAGGAAAAAATAGTGTCTTTCGTTGAGGAGAAAATAATAAAATGAAAAAAAAAATAAAAGAAATGGAACACGTAGACCAAACCAAGAACGGTGAAATAAAGTACCATGAGGTGGAGTCAAAGTTGAAATTGGAAGTAGCTGTGAACTCTCCTCGTGCTAAAGCCCTATCTTTCGACGAAAAGACGTAATGGACCAACTACCAACAAATGGTCTGAACGAGAGACGGCAGTAAATTTGATCATCGCCCTTCGAGGAGACGCTTTAGATGTTCTTCAGACAATACCCGTGGAAGAGATGGACGATTATGAACTACTCAAAAAGAGACTAAATATGCAATATGGCCACAAACACTTAAAGCAGGTGTACCGATTACAGTTGTAAAGTCGCAAACAGAAAAGGGACGAGAGCCTTCAAGAATTCAAATTAGATATTGCGAAGATGGTGCGATTTGCCTACCCATCAGATGCGGAATACATGTTTGAATTTTTGGCTGTTCAAGCATTTATAGACGGACCTCGTGACGATTAAATGCAAATAACACTCTGTTTAGCCCGTCACAAAACATTGGTCGATGTCTTGTCCGCTGCTCTTAAATCTGAAGAGGCTACGCTGGCTTCTGGTGACTGCAGTGAAGTAAGGACTGTAAAATAAGAAGAACAGGGAAATAAATTAGACCAATTGTTTCACATAATAAAAAGTCATATTGAGAAGCAACCGAAGACTAGATGCTAGATGATAGATTTGCGGTTAAATGAGAAATCTAAGGAGTTCACGCAAACGCCTACGAATCAAAAAACCGTGCCGGTGACTATACAGGAAGGAACCGTAGTGCCTAAAAGAAGTAAAACCATAAGAGTAACGCGGTTACAAGGAACTGTAGAGAAAGCAACGCCTGTAATGGCGGAATTCTCGAAGCGCAATGATGGTGTTGGTTTAGGAACTCTGATTGGAAAGGGGTTTGCCACATCTGCTAAAGAAGTTACAGTACGAAGAATGTTGGTTGTCGGCGATGTTTGGGCCTCGGTCAAACTTTGGGAAGAAAAAGAGAACGATCCAGTTTTAAAGAAGATAAGACAATGGAAAGAGGAAAATCGTCGGTCTACTTGGCAAGAAGTATCAAAACTCTCTCCAGTATTTAAATCATATTAGGCTCAGTGGGACTAGAAGAAGAGTTATTAAAGCCAGTACTAGAGAATGATGATGGTTCTGAAAACAGAAGACAGTTGGTCATTCCAAAAAGTAGAGTAGCCGAAGTACTTCGTCAGTTACACGACAGCCCATAAGGAGGACATCTCGGTGTTAAAAAACCCCTTTAGAGAGTTCGTGAAAGGTTTTATTGGATGAACAGTTCTGATGATGTAGAGGACTGGTGTAAAAAATGTACCAACTGTGCTATTAGTAATGGACCTCAACGAAAAAGGAAGGCTCTTATGAAGCAATACAACGTTGCTGGCCCATTTGAGAGAATAGCCTTAAATATGCTGGACCATTCCTCGTGACCGAGGATGGTCATACATACATTTTGGTAGTTATAGACTATTTTACAATAAGTGGGTGGAAGTCTATGCCATTCCAGGTCAAAAGGCCACAACAAAAGAGTTTATCTGCCGATTTGGACTTGCCCTTGGAGATCCACAGTGACCAAGGCAGAAATTTTGAAAGCCAATTCTTTCATGGAATCTGTGACAGACTAGGCATAAAGAAAACCACAACCGCAGCATTTCACCCACAATCCGATGAAATGGTAGAGCGAATGAATAAGACCATTGGCAAATAACTGTCAAAAGTGGTTTCAAACCAACAGCGAGATTGGGATCAAAAACGCTAAAAACCAGTGTTCAACTGGGAAGTTTATTTATAAAGTACGAAGGTAAATTTTTCTAGTACCTACTTGTAGACAAAATGTAAAATATAATCTTAATAAAAGTAAAGTATTCATGTAAACGCACCTTAATAAAGTTTACGCTGCTAAGCAACAACAAAGCTCAACTAAAATAAGAAGAAACGTGCAAACTGTAACTAAAAATGCGATTCTCTTTTGTCAGAGGACTTCGGTTATTTCTATCAGTTTAAAACAGTTTAACTCCTTTAGTCACAGAGAGCCATTAACTAATCATAATAAATTTATAGAATCATTATATCAAAGCATTATTTAAAATGTATTCCAGAGTTTTATCTGAAGATATTACAAAGCGTTATCTATTATACCAGATATCTTTTGTTTGTTTTAAGGAAAAAGAAAAAAAATTAACTATTCGGTAACTGTGTGTATCTATGAAAGCCCTATTATAAAAATCCGTGGTTTTATTAAATTAAAAGCAACGACCTCCATTGTTGGGTAATGGGTTAATGTAGTAGCAATAAAAAAATTTGCATTAATTAATTTTGGCATGGTCACGTTGTTCACGGCTATTTTGCTCTAGTAAATGTTAAAGTTGAACTACTTACTTACGTTAACATGGAATTATTATAAAATGTTAATTACATCAGTTTTTAGGCGTAAAAATTGTTTAATGGTTTCACATTAAGTATGCAAAATAAAGTAAAATGAAAAAATAGCGAGAAAATAGAACGAGAGTTAATGGCTCACAAGAATTGTTATGTTAAAATGTTTTCTAGTTTTAATTGAATTATTTCAATTAAAATATATCTATTCAAATAGAAGCACAATTATTTTAAATATGTATCCAGTCATTGGAATAACAAAGTCGACTAAATGGGAAAATAATTACTTACTGGTTTAGTTTACTAAGTAATTCTGAAAGCTGAAGGCTATTACAAATCCGTTCTCCATCTCGGATATTTATACTTATCATCTTCTTTTTCCAATAGTAATTGTAACTTTTCATTATATTTCATTTTAGCTTAAGGTAACATTTTTTATTGTTTTATATATTTCATGAAATGGGACGTCCACATCCAGTACATCTGTAAAAAATTCATTTCGATTCTAATCAAATTTACTTACCTACCCAGAATTGAAGAAACTCTATCAAATTCTGGTCGAAAGTCTTATTAGATATGGGTCACTAGGATGAGGTGGTGCATTGAATACACACATGCATTCACTATAGAAATTGTTCAGAAAAAGTTTTTTAAAATAATTTTAAAGAAAGAAAGAATATACCCTACAAGATTAATATTTAAGGAAGCAAAACTATAAAATATTTGTCAATTGTACTTTTTTAAAGTTCTTTTAAAAAACAAATATTTCACATACAAAACCATTCATATAACACGCGCAATCGGCTTCACTCAATACAGAAAATGCAGAAATCTATTGGTCAACGATCATATATCTACTTGAGTTGGAACCATACGGAAAACTATTTAATTATTGGTTTTATTTATTTACGATAAAAAAATTCTGCATGGTCCAAAACTTAAAATGCAATTATCAGATATTAATTTTTTTTAGCCGTATACGAGGTTGCTTGACTTTTTATGACGAATAATTTTTTTCCTAATATTAATCTTAAAAAAGTTTTTCATTTGCCATCAGTCTACGTAACTGCCTGTTCGAAAGATTATGAGATGTTTTACAAAAGTGGACGATTTTTCAAATCTCCTTTCTTGTAAAGATGTGTAATAAAAGATTCTTTAATATCTCTAGGCCATACTACATACTCCATGGATTTATTAATTAAATATTCCATGGTGTTACAATATGTTTTCACACGAATGTTATCGATCCCTGATGATTTTTGTATTTTTTTTTACTTTAATTGAATTTTTTAATTCTACAATATCAGTAGATTTTAAAAAGAAGGAGTTTTTGTTTTTAATGAGTCGTTAGTTTTTTTTTTTAGATATTTGGTAATTTCTAGAAAAGACGCGTATATATTTACTATTGTCTATTTTTATGGATTCTATGTTATTATTATTATCTCATTTACTTTTATTCACAGTTGATTGAAATTATTAGAGTTATTGTCTATTTTTTTTTTATAATAAGCAAATTTAGCCTTTTGTATTAGAGATGATAATTTAGTTTTGTAATTGTTAAATGCGTGCTTTAGGATTCTTTTGCAGAGATTTATACATTTAATTTTTTTTATTTACAGAATTCAGCAAGCCATCAGTTATCTTTAAGGTAAGTTCCATTTGTAATTTGAATATTTTTATATTAACGCATTAGACTTTTTTTAATACTATTTAAAATGATTTCAAAGGGTAAAAACAACAGTTCTGTGGCGAATTTCAACTTTGAAAAAACGATCAATCATCCAAAAGGCACAATTAAGATTAGTGGCGGCTAATGATAATTTAAAATGGGTGTTCATTTTTTCCAATAATTTTTGTCAATATTTCTGTTTTTTTTTTTTTTAATATTTGATTTTGTATTAAGTATAGTTATTATTATTAACATCGTACTGTTTTCAAGCACTACAACTTTTAATAAATGAATATGTTAGTTATTGTAATATTTGTTTTGTTTTTAATACGTTGAAAACCATCTATAAACATTATTAGTTAGTAAACTGACTTTTCTTCATAATTTGAGATTATTTTTAAATATATCTATCAGGTTATGTAGAAAGCTTGACATTGATTTTTGTGTTAAAAATTTTATATGAAACTTTACTCACCATTTTTTAGTTTTTATTGTAAGTTTAATCATTTTCACAATTTGTCACAGATGTCAAATAAAAAATATATTTTTTAAAAACCTTTTATTGGCAAATAAAATAAGAACTAAAATGTTTCAAATATTTATTTTATAAGATCAGTACCATCATAATACAAAATATAACACAGACAAACTAGAATAAATATATAATGCCTGGCATTCTAAATGATACGCTTGGCAGTTTACCAGACCTCCCTAAACCCTAAGCAGATTGTTTTCACAATCAATAGGCCTTATCTCCTTATAGAGCTTGATTTTTACTAAAAATTTAATGTTGACATCGCTTTCCATTTTTGATTTTTTGTTTTTAATTTGAACCCTCCTTAAATCCCCCATATTTAATCAGATTTTTTTCTATAATTAAAGGGCTTCTTCTCCTTTTAGAGATTGATGTTTGCTAAAAATTTTAAGTTTATATCCTTTTTCGTTTTTCCGTTAGGATTTTTTTTTTTATATTTTAACCCCTCTTAACTCCCTAATATATTCATATTTTTTTTAGTATCAATAGGCTTTATCTTCTTATAAAGCTTCATTTTTACTAAAAATTTCATGTTGATATTGCTTTTCGTTTTTAATTTAGAATTTTTTTTAATTTCAACCCATCTTAACCCCCTATTTTTAATCAGATTTGTTAAAAATCAATAGGCTTTGTCCCCTTATAGAGCTTGATTTTTGCTTAAAATTTTCAAGTTGATATCATTTCTCATTTTTGACTTATAGTGCAGACATAAAACGTGACATCGGACAGACAGACAGACAGACAGACAGACAGACAAAGTAAACCTATAATACTCTTCACAGAATACTGTTTGAAGAGTAGAAAAAAAATGTATAAGGTGAAATAAACAATTTAAAAAGGTCAACAATAATATTCAACTTCATTTATCAAAGGATACTAAAAGTTTGAAATAGCAGCACATAATTGAACATTTACAGAAATCTGTGAACTAAACTAGTGAGATACACATCGTAAAATGTTATCACACTTAATTCTCCATATGACCCTTTCTAAGTGTATTTCACAGCACATTCCAAAGTATTCTTGCTCTCACTCAGTCTTACCCTCATGGCAGACTTTAGCATGTCCATGTTCACTAAAAAATAATGTGTTTAAATAAATAACAGAATAATAGTATTTTGTCTAAATAGGTAAATCAGCTTCATCTGTATTTTCAAATTATTGTTTAATTGTAGATAGTATATTAATGTTTTGATATGTACTTATAGGATTATTTAGCCAGAGTATGTAGATATGTGGGATGTGAATTGTTAAGGTAGTTCACTCGTAAAACGGCTTTTCTTAAGAATTCAATAAAATTTAAATATAAGGTTAATGAAAGTGTCTTTTATGTAACTAAAAAAAATTAAATTTTTTGACCGTCTGTGAAACGAGATATTAACTATCAAAATGTGCATAATTAACACTCTTGAAGCCTCTCATGTACACAAGTAATGCATTTATTTCAAGTTATCTCGAAAACGGTTCTTACCATATTTTTTAAAAACTAATGCAATGTAAATCAAGAAGTTATAAAATTTTCTAAAGAAACGCTGAATTTATTGACCGTCTTAGTAAAAAGATATAGATTTTTAAAATAAAAATATTTTTAAAGCAATCAACGCGTATTTGCGTAAAAGTATTACAACTTGGCAACGTTGTATACGCTGCAATCAACGCATTGTACTCGATCAGCTAAGAGGATGTTATAACCTCGCGACGTTTTCTTGAAAAATTAATTCGTCCACTGTATTTGAGAACTGGAATCAGCGGTTTTGTTTGAACCAAAACAAACCCTTAAAATGAATATGAGGAAGTCACAAATTTCTATAACAAACCATTCACATATTTATGAGGTTGCCGGATGGATTTTATTAAAATCCATATATATATATAAGCTTACATGTGTTTTGTACAGTCTCTTAGAAAAATAAAATTGATTAGCATTGAGAATCTCGAACTATTGGTATTCACCATTAAGCGATATTTTTATGTACGACTGTCGCGAGGTAACTACCTTAAATGGCTAATTAAAATCACAATTTATGTTTGATAGTTATTGCTTTTTTCGAGACATACTTTATTACCAACTGTAAACTAATTTACAAACAGCCTTATTTTTATTTAATACCTGCAGTGATCCAAATCTACATAACATCTAATATTTTTAAAAATACTAAATTTTACGAACAAGGCAATAAAAAAGTGTCATTAAAATAAAAGATTTCTGGTTTGTATGCAACAAACGATCTAGGTTAGAGGGTAACACGATTGATAATTACAGGCAAACATAATTTTATGTAAGTAAAATATTTAAATGTACATACCATTTCTTAGGTAAAATTTCTCATCGAGTATATTAAATTAACTGGTTGATCCGTTTTTCCGATTCAGACTTTTAAAGTGAAAAACCATTTATCTCTTTATCTTTATCAAATTTTTATTGTACATTTCCATTTCCACAATGATGTCAAGTAGTTATCTTATTCGATTAATCAAATTTTTCCTTTTAGCAAGTTTTGTGAAAAAAAAAATTACATTAATTTTTTGATTACTATAGTATTTACAATTGGGTACAAAATAGACCATTTTAAAGTAGTCTTTAGATGGTCTTAGACACTGAAAAAAAAATATAAAATAAATTACAGTCGTAAAACTTTATTATAAGTAAATAAAACAACATTACCTTAAAAATTTTAATTTACCTTGCCTTAAAGAAGTTTTTCGGGAACAATCGTTGAATTGACACATACTTTCAATTTATTGAAGACACAGTTCTTAAATAAACACATTTTTTTAAATGAACGCAATTAAAATAATCTTATGTTTTCATTTAAAGTATTTCATAGCAGAGGAATGACACTAATGACAGTGACAGTTTGTTTGATTTGGTACAGTGTTGCCAGAATATATTTTTGTTATGTACCAGATTTTATAGAAAATGTATTAGATTTCTTAAATGTATCAGATTTTTCGAATTCTATTTGCAGTGACATCTAATTAATTGAAAGGGAAAAAGGGGGTCTTTATTGATAACAAACCCAAACAAGGAATACAATATATATATTTTACACGTGAACACTGATGCACGCAGAAAGTACTACATCTAGTACAATTGTGCATTATACTAGACTGGAAACCCTGGTTTAGCAACCTTGTTTGTGAGCGGCGCATCAATTAATGTGTTCTTCGACAGTTTGAAGGATCTGTTGGCGTTTTGTCTTCTCTTTTTAGCTATATGTATTCGTCAAATCGTCTTACTCGTGTTAGGCTCACTCATCATAATGCGCCACAGTCACGGTATACTTAGGTATACTGTGCCACAGAAACGCGATTAGTCAGAGGGCAATGATGTACCAAAAAATATAGATTAACAGGCATGAAAATAAAAATATTAAAATTAAATTTATATTTTTATGTTATTTATGTAATATTAAAATAATGTGTATTTATAAAATTTAACTGGGTGTTCACTGCACAAATGAACCAATGGAGAAACCGTCCCTGATTAAGATACATAATCGTTTAGAATTGTATTTAGACATTTGACCACCCCTGAACATAATTAAATTAAGCCAAATATTGGTCTTTATTAGGCCTTCTTGTCTACTGTCTATTTTAGAGCGCAGGATCTAAAAATAAGTTATTAATAAACGTAGGTATTCAGTTTTCTTGATTAACAAACAGAATAAAAAGTTAAAATGCCGGTTTATTATAATAAAATGGAATATACAGGGTGTTTATTAAGTACTTGTATAAACTTTAAATAGTGAATTTTTGACTAATTTTAAGGCAAAAAGTCATATGAACACGTGTCCTTAACCTCTTAACTTTTGTGCTACAGGGTGATAAAGTTTTCAGAAAAAAATCTAGTTTTTCCAATAACTGTGAGACTATTGTATATATCTTTACAAAATTTGGTACACGTATACTATGCATTAAGATGCATTTTTTGATGTACAAATTTATATTTTTCTACCAGTGGCATCCATACCTACGGGGTTTGTATTGAATATTTTTGCAGAAAAAAATAGTGTGCCACTGCTTCATCTTAAAACAAAAATTATTTTTGAAATTCTCATTTATTTTTAAACAAATTTAATCTCTTGAGTTTTTTCGTTCCATGCATAGTTTACGCTTTAAAAAATAAAATCCGTTTTATTTCAGAGTCAAATTGCTAAAATGTACAATTTTACATACATGCATAGCAAGCCTTGCAAACAACCGAGAGGTTTCCATGGTAGCGGAATCAGTCATGACAGTTTATTTAAAAAAAAGATCATGGTTTTTGTCATTTAAAAATGTATGCATGTATGTAATATTTTATTGTCTATTATTGGGTTCAAAATGTACGAATATACCAATGCAGAAATGTCAGACATTCATTTCGTTTACGGAATGGCTCACGGTAATGCACAAGCTGCAAAAAGAATGTATCAAGCCCGATTTCCTCAACGGGTGGTTC